AAAGGCTCGTGATGTTAAGATTGACGTTCGGCCTTATCAATAGAAGTGTTGTTGAACAATGGTATGGTTCTGAAACGTTTATATAAGTTAAACACTATCTGACAGGATGACTTCGCTTTAGTTGTAACAATGAACACGACAGTCAAATGTGCATGTTTTCCAAACACGTCAACAACTAAAGACTAAAATGAATATTTGCGAACGGTAAATACAGAAATACAACGCATCCTTGCTTCAATTTTCTGTTGTCTACCATCATAAATAGGTTCATCAGTTAACCAATTGTCTAGCCTGTAGAGGACGATTACTAGTCTAGTGTCAACTTTAAAGTGTGATCTTATAAACAATAGATCGAAAGAAACGGTTATGAAAGTAAGTTACCGAAGAAAGTTGAAGGCAGGTCAAAAATCAAATAGGAAAGGGATCGAGAAACACTATGTCACATACAGTTTACTACCAATACGCAATAGAAATGCAAAAATGGCAAGTATGAAAAAGTGAACCATCCTCTCGCGCTCTGAGTGAACCTAACATTTACATATTTGCTAATTGTTATCTTGAAAAAGCACAAAACCAGTGATAACAGCATTGATTTCATTCAATGCACCACAAAGCCACGTGTCTCCTCTTTACAATGATATATCATTCACTGATATTGTTCATTGTTGGGCGAATAATCTTTCCATTTGCAAAGTGCGCCAAAATTAGCTTCGGGTCAAGTTATAAACATTGCAAAAGTCCGTGTTCGGAGCCCGATGCAATATTTGACGAAACATAAAACCAATGCTGACTGCATCCTTTTACTTCAATTTACAAAAAAGCCAAATTACTCCTCTTTGCAATGGAATATCATTCATTCACAGGGAGTCATCTCTGGCCGAATAATCATTAATTTTGCAAAGTGGGGCAAAATTCAGCTAGGACCCAAATTTAAAGCATTGCAAAAGTCAGTACAAGGGGCATGGGGGTTATTCGAAGAAGGTGTGGCAGGTATGGCATAGACAGTAAAGTGTTCATACTCATACTCTTGCAAGAATACATACTATACCCCTCCAAATTGCCACCACTTCATTGCACATAAAGATGCGCTCATCTGTCCACGTCATGCATGGTTCAGCCCTGAATCATGTGTGGGTTAAAGCAAAGAAAAGCAGCCCATGGGCAAATCTTTCTCGAGGTTTTGCAATATATTGTGGAGGAATTGTGAGCACAGATGCTCCCGAGATAGCTCCAAAAGAAAAAGTAACGACAATTCAAGTCAGGGGAACTTCCATTGGCACTAAGCCCTTGCACTGATTTTTTCAATATCTAAAACTTGGTGCAGAGCCGATTTTGACCCACTGTGCAAATCGAAGGATTTCTCACCCAATCATTACCACATGTGAATGAATGACATTGCTCCTCCTTTTGTCTCTCCTCTTGCAAAGATTACATTAAATAAAATTGATGTAGTCATCACTATTTTTGTGATTTTACGAGATAACTACTTGTTGCTTTTTTATTGATACGCCCTGTACACGCTAATAGACATTAAAGAATAATTAAAAATCGATGTCAGTGTAGATTTAATGTGACATTCATTTATATTTAATCTTTTTTTTTATATAATTCGATGTTAGGATTGGGAATTAATTGTATAAAGCCTAGAATTAAAGACGTTAAATGAGACCAAAGAATCTTACATAATCCAAACTGTGTTGGGCTCTTCCCCGTCTTTCTGCGATCGCACGCTTATGATTTGCTTCTGCGCGGCTCATCCTGTCTTCCACTTTCTGTGCTTTAGTTCGCTGTTCGTCCTGTTGATGTTTGATCCTGCGAGCTCGGATGGAGTTAAGGAGCACTGTTCTCTGTTGGGGTTGGTGCGAGATGATCAGTTGATCGAGGTGCTTGAACAGGTCTTGGCCCGGTGGTTTGGCTGAGCCGTAATTGGTCTTTGCCCTGTTGGTGGCACAGGAGCGGTATATTGGTTGGTCTCAATTGGAGGCAATCTGGAATTTTGAGTGTTCTCTGGTTTTGTTGAAAGGCAAATATTTGGTTGGCGTCGTTGGTTTTCTATTGCAGGCATGGGAATTTTTGATTCAAACAATCCACAATCTTGTTTTGTGCCACTGAAATTTTCACCATAGTACTGTCTTTTCTTTGCTGCTATGCTCGGCTCCCCAATCACAACTCCACCGTCTCCTTCCTGAATGAAATCCATCATTATCTCTCTAGAACATTTCTCTGCTATTTCGATCATAAACTCTTCAAACTCATCGTAATACGGTTGTAGCTTCTCAGCTAGCATTTCGTCGAAGGTCTTCTTTGACGGTCCGTTGAACTTTGACTTTTTCGCTGAAAGCAAAATATGTTTTGGTTTAATTATTTTATTCAACACTGATTAATGTTTCAATGACTTTATAAAGAGCTTAAGTGGCATAAGAGAGTGTATGCTGGATCTTCTCAAACAGAAAACAGACGTTAGCAATTGCCTTAGGTAGCTTGTCACTAATAGTAATTAAACTAATTCAAATAAATTAATCTTTGCTATGTTCGAATCCCAGGGTTACGCCAGGGATACACATTACAAATTCAAATAACGTCTAAAGATTCATTCAGAACTCGTAGGAAGTTTTTCTCGAAAAAAGCCACTCTTTCTCGTTTTCTAGTTCACTTGTCTTTTAATTTCAAGTACGACTACTAAAACAGATATAACGAAACAGTTCTTCTGAGGTTGTGGTCGTGGAGTATTTTCAGACATAAATATAAGCATGAAGATGCATATGTTTTACCTTCTTCCAAGGCCACTGTATCGTGGCCTTCAAGTAAAGATATATTCCTGCATGAACAACTGGTCATGTCGTAATCATAAAATTTGAAATCATATGTCCGCCATTTTTCCACATCACAATTTGAATTGCGAGTTTTGGTCTTATTTCCTCACCAAAAATTCCATAAAGTGATCAGTGTATTAGTTCACATCTTCTGATTCGCTAACTTAGAATTTACAGCCAGTTACTAATGTCAGACGTTGACGACATTTCGTCCAGTTTTCGAACATCGCCATTTTTCTTTGAGCCATTTTGTTTTAATTTTAGACGAAATCCTGATGAAATCATGTCATATCTCATCAAGGAGCCGAGCGGGGTCCGTTTTGATTAATGATTTATTTATCTGGCGATTTTCAAAATATTCAATAAATTTATGACACGACGACCAGCTTTTTTCAAATGGAGTTCGCAGTATTCCAGATGAAATCCCCTCTAGCCAAGCCAATTATTGGCTAGAGACTCGATTAACATATGTTGTTTCCCGCCTCAGTTAGCATGACAACAATTTGATGGAATCTGGGCCACGTCATACACATACGACACATAAACCAATATTAGACGTCATGGACTTGGATTTGTGTATGACAACAATATCATGACAAAAATATTTTACTTCTCGTCGATTAAAAAACAATTAGATATGCCAGACGTGTCCTAAACAAATCAAACATGCGTCGAAAAATATACGAAATTACACTCACCCATAATCAGCTATCGCTTGATTACTAAATATACCAAAATATAGAAGAATCACTAAAATAATTCGCGGAGGAGGGAGGAGGGAAAGTCCCAGAGTTTAAAGATGACAGACATAATTACCTCTCTTGCTTACCACCTTCGTTCGTTCGAATTTTCATCGGCTAGTTATCAAATACTGCACTCCGATGGGATGTTTTATTTGATATAGGCAAATTCCGTACACCTTTCTTTATTTTGATGTGAAATGAGAAGCTATGATATTGGTTTACACGCCAGAAATGAACATAATATTATTCGAAGCGTATTTCGAAAATTTCGAAACCGCCAATGATGACATCATTTGTTTGTCGACTTTTGACCAATCAGCGACGATGATTTACATTATAAGCGTATGTCATCTTTGAACCCTGGTGTTTCTCCCCCTCTGGATTAAAGTGAAACCAAGATCATGACGTCATGATATTGTATTGTCTTTCGAAAGATCGCGACAAAATTTGTGGTCATTTTCTAGTATTTCTAAAATCATTTAATCACATGGCGTGTTAATATGTATGTCAAACGTTCTTAACAAATCGAACGAGCTTCGAGAACAATAAGGAGATACTCACCCATACTCCGCTATCGTTTGCAATTGATTACTAAATATAGGCTACTAGACTGAAGAATATCCGAATAATTTGCTCCCAGATATACATGTGTATCTTCTGCTTGCTTTGATTTATGTCTTCGTTTACCTAACAACAGGAGGAAATCTAATTGTGGCGTCAGGTAAACTATCCAAACATCATTGTGAATGATATCGCATCGTGACATCACGATCTAACATTGTCTTGATTGTCTTGGAAACGGGTCACAACTCATGCATAAAGGTTTCTCCAATTTTTTTGATTTGGTCTTTGGAGATGATTCAGTTCCGGGGATACAGTATTATGGTGTATTTTGCGTTTTCATCTTGTTGATCAAAATTAATATTCACTACCTTATTGTATGGTTCATCGAATTTGCAATTTACACCAGCGCGTTTAATGTCATTGCGCGCCTTTAATGTCAACTCCAAATGGAAGCTTCTTGCCTACTTTGTTGCTAATCGACGGAAAGCTTAGTACACCATTATTTAGAATATTTTTCTAGAACTTGTTGAACATGGAGAACAAAGTAGACACGAGATTTGTAATACCTTGAAGTAAAGTCAAATAATTCTGATATGTATATATAACTATATTTTCAATTCTATAATGTTCAAGTGCGAATCATAAAACCAATGGGTAAGTAAACAGAGATACGTATTATTTACATCACTCTTGAGATAACTACTTCTTTAAAATCAAAAATACATGTATAGATATACTACGTCCCACTTGCCCTGTTCTCAAAAGGAAGAGGTTCAACACAAGATGGTGGACAATATTTTACAGTTATTTTCCCTAAATGGAAATACAAACTACGACCGCAACAATTCTCCTAGTGAAAACACAGTAAATAACGATTACACGATAACTGGAGGGAAATAGAAAGACATGGCTTTGAGTTTGCATCAACTGCGCTTGGCGATTATACAAGTAGCAATCGCCAACGCTGATCAGAGTACAGACTGGCGTATCCTGATTGCAAAACTCCAGATTCATAGAGTCCAACCAGAAAATGCAATATTATGGGCCGTTGAAAATAACGTTGACTTAGACACGGACACGTTAACATTATTGATCAGAGCAGGCGCTGATATCAATGCTAGCAACTTTAACGAGATAACTTCGCTTATGCTGGCCATAAAAAAGAGTAATGTTAACAATGCTATTGAATTACTTGAGCATGGAGCTGATGTAGACGCCATCGACGATTGTGGAAAGACAGCGTTGATACATGCAATAGAAGGAGGAAATCTAGATTTAGAATGTGTCAGTGTTTTGTTAAAGAAGGGCGTAGATCTAAACATACGCGACCATGATGGAAAGAATGCTTTGGATTATGCGATATTGGAAACAATTTACAAAATAACATTGGAAAGAATCGAAAATTTCGAAATGGATTTGAAGTTACATATGGATGATAAAGATGATGGTGAAGATGGGAAAACAAGTGAAAATCAGGATACGGGACAAGATGTATCCGAGAATAGGGACACATCGGTGGTAGATGAGGCCAAGTACTACGATTGTGCCAGTATTCTCATTGCACATGGGGCTGATATTGACGAAAATAGCTTCAAATATGCTTCGGTTTGTGCAACTGCCAACATATTGAGCTTGCTCCTGGAAAATATTGAGCGTTTAGATGTTACAAAAGAAATGATTCAAAAATCGTTGTTCGCTTCTCTGGTATCTAATAGCCTGAACTGCACGCGTTTACTTCTAAAACATGGTGCAAATGGTTTTGCAGTGGACGAAGATGGATATCATGCGCTGGAATATGCTGCTGCGGTGAATAACGTGGAAGGTTGCCGTCTAATTCTAGATCTTGGTGTAGATGTCAATGAAAAAGGCTGTAAAGGACAAACAGCATTGATGCACGCTGCCGAGAGGAATTCCATGGAATGTATCCGTCTAGTTCTGAAAAATGGCGCAGATGTCAATACTATGGATAACGAAGGAAATACTGCATTGATATTTGTTGATAAGAGGGACGAAGATGATACTTGTCTTCGCCTACTTCTGGAAAACGGCACAGATGTCAATATTCAGAATAACGATGGGGTCACTGCATTGATGCATGCTGCGAAGAATGACAAAGAAGCTTCTCGTGTTCGTCTACTTTTGAAACATGGTGCAGATGTCAATGTTAAGGATAAAAATGGGTACACTGCATTATTATATGCTGCTTGGAATGACGAAGATGATAATCGTGTTCGTCTACTATTGGAACATGGTGCAGATGTCAATGCTAAGGATAACGATGGAAACACTGTATTATTATATGCTGCCAGGAAAGACGAAAATGATACTTGTTTTCGTCTTTTTCTGGAAAATGGCGCAGATGTCAATATTCAGAATAACGATGGGGTCACTGCATTGATGCATGCTGCGGAGAACGACAAAGAAGCTACTCGTGTTCGTCTACTTTTGGAACATGGTGCAGATGTGAATGCTCAGGATGAAGATGGGGACACTGCATTATTATATGCTGCTTGGAATGACGAAGATGATACTCGTGTTCGTCTACTATTGGAACATGGTGCAGATGTCAATGCTAAGGATAACGATGGAAACACTGTATTATTATATGCTGCCAGGAAAGACGAAAATGATACTTGTTTTCGTCTTTTTCTGGAAAATGGCGCAGATGTCAATATTCAGAATAACAATGGGGTGACTGCATTGATGCATGCTGCGGAGAACGACAAAGAAGCTACTCGTGTTCGTCTACTTTTGGAACATGGTGCAGATGTGAATGCTCAGGATGAAGATGGGGACACTGCATTATTATATGCTGCTAGGAATACCCAAGAAGGTAATGATATTTGTCTTCGTCTACTATTGGAACATGGTGCAGATGTGAATGCTCAGGATGAAGATGGGGACACTGCATTATTATATGCTACTTGGAATACCCATTGGCAAGAAGGTAATGATATTTGTCTTCGTCTACTTCTGGAAAATGGCGCAGATGTCAATATTCAGAATACTAATGGGGTCACTGCATTGATGCATGCTGCGAGGAATGACAAAGATGATACTGGTGTTCGTCTACTATTGGAACATGGAGCAGATGCGAATGCCAAGGATCAATATGGGGACTCTGCATTATTATATGCTGCAAAAAATGACGAAGATGATACTCGTGTTCGTCTACTATTGGAACATGGTGCAGATGTCAATGCCAAGGATCAATATGGGGACTCTGCATTATTATATGCTGCAAAAAATGACGAAGATGATACTCGTGTTCGTCTACTATTAAAAAATGGTGCAGATGTGAATGCCAAGGATCAATATGGGGACACTGCATTATTATATGCTGCTAGGAATGACGAAGATGATACTCGTGTTCGTCTACTATTGGATCATGGCGCAGATGTCAATGCTAAGAATCAATATGGGGACACTGCATTATCATATGCTGCTAGGAATGACGAAGACGATACTCGTGTTCGTCTACTATTGGATCATGGCGCAGATGTCAATGCTAAGAATCAATATGGGGACACTGCATTATCATATGCTGCTAGGAATGACAAAGATGATACTCGTGTTCGTCTACTATTGGATCATGGCGCAGATGTCAATGCTAAGGATCAATATGGGGACACTGTATTATTATATGCTGCTAGGAATGACAAAGATGATACTCGTGTTCGTCAACTATTTGAAGATGGCGCAGACGTGATTGCTAAGGATAAAGATGGGGACACTGCATTATTATTTGCTGCTAGGAGTAACGAAGATGATACTCGTGTTCGTCTACTATTGGAACATGGTGCAGATGTCAATGCTAAGAATGAAGATGGGAACACTGCATTATTATATGCTACTAGGAATGGCCAACAAGATAATGATATTTTTCTTCGTCTACTCCTGGAAAATGGCGCAGATGTCAATATTCAGAATAACAATGGGGTCACTGCATTGATGTATGCTGCGAAGAACGACAAAGAAGGTACTCGTGTTCGACTACTTTTGGAACATGGTGCAGATGGGAATGCTAAGGATGAAGATGGGGACACTGCATTATTATATGCTGCATTGAATAACCAAGAAAGCAATCGTTCACTTCAGGAACTTCTAGATCATGGAGCAGATGTAAATTCCAAAGACAACAAGGGACAGACGGTATTGATGCATTCATTATATCCTGCTAGGAATGACGAAGATGATACTCGTGTTCGTCTACTATTGGATCATGGCGCAGATGTCAATGCTAAGGATCAATATGGGGACACTGCATTATTATATGCTGCTAGGAATAACGAAGATGATACTCGTGTTCGTCTATTATTGGAACATGGTGCAGATGTGAATGTTAAGAATAAAGATGGAGTCACTGCATTGATGTGTGCTGCGAAGAATGACAAAGACGTTACTCGTGTTCGTCTACTATTGGAACATTGTGCAGATGTCAATGCTAAAAATAAATATGGGGACACTGCATTATTATATGCTATATTGAATCCCCAACAAAGCAATCGTTTACTTCAGGAACTTCTAGATCTTGGAGCAGATGTAAATTCTAAAGACAACAAGGGACAGACGGTATTGATGCATTTAGCAAAGAAAGATTATTTATTATTAAGAGATCATCAAGAGGATTGCATCACAGAATATACCAGTATTCTTCTAGATCATGGCGCCGAGGTCAATATCCAGGATGAAACTGGGAATACAGCATTACTATATGCTCTCAAGGACGGAGATTCAGATATTGTTACACTTTTAGTAGATTATGGAACTGACTTAAATATACAGTACAATGGTAAAACAGCATTGATGTATGCCTTTAAAGCCAGACATTTTGATGGGTTTAAACTTCTTGTAGAATGTGGAACTAACCTAAGTATACAGGACGATAGTGGAACAACAATCCTTATGTCCGCTGTTCAAGGAGAACAATTAGAGTATGTTGAACTTCTACTGGACCATGGTGCGAATTTAAGTGGCCAGGACACACAGGGAAAGTCCCCTCTTAACTCTATAAAGAAGTCATCACCCGAAGGATTGGAAATATATTCCTTGCTTTACACGAGGGGAGCTGCAGATGACAATTACCAACATCTAATGTCATTAAACAAAAATGCAACAAATGACCAACAACACGAAGCCAAACAGAAACTTGATGCATGGAATATTAAATCCAGACTATCTTTGAAGTATTATGCAAGACGAGTTGTCTACAATATATATAGTTCAAATAGAGAAGGGTACAAGTCCTCAATCCAGTATCTGATTGACAGTGGTCACATTCCTGCCGATCAAATCGAATATATGATGTTTGAAGTTGATGTCAAGGAGATTTTGACAATATTGAATGACTTGAAAAGAAAGACTGCCTTGGCAGACTCAATTATGGAGAATAGCCTGAAATATACAGAGCGTATAATAAAGGAATGTGACGACATCAATGTCAGGAATGACAGCGGAAAGACCCCGTTGATGTTAGCTGTTGAACAAGATTCATATGATCTTGCTGCCCTCCTTATTTTCCATGGTGCAGATATTAATGTTAAGGATAAGTTTGGAAATTCTGCATTAACCTCGATAAAGCGTTCTTCCTCAGATGCTTTATACTTTTATTGCCTATTCTCTGTAGTTGGTGCTGTTGATCAAAATTACCAGCATCTGATGTCGATGTATTCAAATGCAACAAGTGAACAACAACAGGAAACAATAGGACAACTCAATGAATTGAAGGTGAAATTAAAATTAACATTAAGTCACATCGCACGTTTAGGGCTCTTTAACGCATACGCTTCACGTAAACGAGGTTACATATCCGCAATCGAGGAGTTAATTGAGAGTGGTCAATTGCCCTCCAACCAGGAAGCATTTATGCTCTTTGGTGATGAAATGGGAAAGATGAGCTCAGTCATATATGCACTGAGTGAAAATGATGAACAAGAAGGTAAGTGGAATCATTTACATTCTTTTGTAACTAAAAATCTAGCGAAAGTGACAAAGGGCGACGCATGAGGAATGCGAACGACCATTTTGAACTATATTATATAAATGAAACCAAAATACAGATTCTTTCGAATTAAATTTGATTTCAGAAAGTCAAAAAATGTTAACCTCCCTATTTAAAACTTAACAACAGGGCAGACGAGCGGTGCAATTGAATAAATAGACTTACTAAAACCATCCGTTTGGTTTGGGCACTGCTCCTGCAAATCGTTGCCGATATTTGATTGGTTTTATCACACTTCATTTTTATTCTTGTGCTGCCACGCTAATTAGTATTAAGTATAATATTTTTTAGTTCTAAAACGCGTAATGCAAATAAATAGAAGCACTTACGACAGACCTGGTGAACAAGACGAAGAAGTTGAAAATACATTCGAAAGTGCAACAGGCGAAACGGCAATACCACCCGGAATCTCAGATGTGGATATCGTGGTAGACGATCTTCGAGACGATCTGCTGGTTCAAGATGGCCAAGAAATAACAAACGTTTCCCCGCAACATCAAAAACAATCACGCATCAGGTAAACTCAAAGAACTTTATATACAGGTCCAATTGGTCAACAGCCGTTGAGTTACTGACCACCTTATAATAATAAGGAGAACATACGCACATATTAGCTGGGAAATGTATGATGTAGCATCATTTCCTAGTTACATTAAAATATTATAAGTTTTTAGGTTGGAACTAAAAATGATGTATACCCAGGGGCATATACTTTGAATTTTTTCACTAAAATGCAATTTTTAATAGGCATTATCAAATGTAAACATCTTGTCAAAATTGGTGTAAAAATACTGAATAGAACCGGAGATATTGCCATTTCATTGATGTTGTTAATAAAATGAATGGTGCCAAAAGAAGCCTATTGTCCTGAAAGTTATTACGTAATAGGGCTCCATATGGAGACTATCGTCGTGAAAGGGTTAAAGTTTAATAATCAACAAGCAGGTACATTTTTCATTAAAACCCCGAAGAGTGATCCAATCAATAAGTGACCAAATGAAGTTTTTGCATAATTGTCAAGTGATAACAGCTTTGTAATTGATTATAACAGTCTGAGCAATAAATAAATGAAAAATGGTGCTTAAAGTGGTGATTCCTTGTGTTAAAAATAGGAAAATTTTTAAGAGGTTATACATCGGTCGATGAGAGTATACAAATTGTAATATATGCTTTTGGGGATATTTATGTAGACAATATTGGAAATTATGGGCTTTCAAACCACTGTTTTGGAAGTTGTGAGAGACTACTCATTTATTTATTGCTCAGACTATCAACGTGAGTTATGAGCATTTTTTCAATGTCCACGTTTTGTATTAGGTCTTTATAGAAATTTTTATTTAATTTTTCACGATTCTGTCACACTCATGATTAGGCCTATTAAAAATCTACTGGGGATAGTTTCAGTAAAAATGAAACAGTTGGCAAATGTATACTTTTGACAGTTAACCTATAGAATTTGTTTTTAACCAAAAGCATAATTTCAAATAACTTTCAAAGAGTTTGGATTGTTGATAGAACGATTACTATTGTAGTATATTTTATATATTTATGCAATTAGAGACCAGTATTACGATATTGACGCTGTCCCAGAAGACGGTGACACTGGAGAAGAGAAACCCGATTTACAAAAAGAACCGTGTAGTCTATCCTATGTCGAGGGTCGAGCAATCTTATATGACGAAGAGCTTCGTGAAAACAAGGCAGACGCAAGTAAAACGATGATTTAAAACTATCTTTTATAGATGGTCCAATCTTGCATTCGAATTGTTTTTGACGTTTTGAACACACACTTTAATACATCAAAAGCTGCAATAAACCTAGCTATTGACCTTTTATACGTATTAGCGATATAATAATTTACATGAAAAGGATCTCAATAATCTCAATAACAATAACGAATTTTAGATAGGCCTAATGTGAAGTTGAAATTAGACCTGGTTTATATTTAACTTTTACATTTCACTTTATTCATTTCGATTTCTCTCTCTAACCATTCACCAACCTTTAAACCAGCTTTGAATATCTAGTTGCAAAACCGTCGACACTGACACCACGATTGTTCGATGATAAACATTTACTTTACAAATTACAAGCATAAACACATCCACTGTTCCAAAACGTAACGTCAATGTAACAGAATGGATGAACTTCCTGGATACGATTTTTTGTTTTCTCAATTTAAACCTTACAGTATGTAAATCAAGTTGGAGATTAAAAGTTGGCACAAAGCTAGAAAATAGAGCCAAGCTTTAAAAATGTCTTCGATTTGGAATTTGTTCTGTGAACGAAGTCGCATATATTTAGGACCTCGCTTTTGTTACATTGACAAAAGTCATATAACCAATGTTTGTTACTTTAAAGACTTACGTCAAATTCCAAACCGAGGACATTTCTTAAAACTAAAATTTATTGTCTAACATTCGTGCCAAATTATAATCTGCAATATGACTAATAAGTAGTTTGAAATCGCGAAAAATCGTATTCGGGAAGTTCATCAAATTTGTTCAATGACGTTCCGTCAAATTAAGTACAGTAACACCCCAGTCACATTTGTCGCACGGCGGCCGCAAGTCGACCGCAGATCAATTAAATCGGTGAATTTCTGCGGCGAGCGTAGAAAAACTACGCTCGCCTTGTGGCCTCCGTACGGCGAATGCATATATTTACAGGCCGCAGGGAAGGCGTAGAAATTATAACTCGGAGTTACAATATTTGTTCATTTCTGAGGTCCCCGTAGAAATCAACTGGCTCAACAAGATTGAATCATTATTTGTCAATGTTTCACGATCACTTTTCATTTGATATTACATCCTAGCACTATGAATAACATTTATAAATTTTTCTGATGTAAATAAAATGAAAAAAAGTATTATTTATCAACAGAAATTTAAAATTCACCTGCCGTGGGAAATGTGACTGCAAAAGTATGAGAGCGCAGAAATTCCACGGCGAGCGTAGAAATGTTACTGGCCGCAGAAATGATAGACCGCAAGTTCGGCGTAGGAAATGTGACTGGGGTGTAACTAGTTGTTAAGCCGTGATAATGCCACAATAAAAATCATTAATATTTTATTCAATAGCAACCGGGGAAGAATATGAAACAAATAATACAGTACAAGCACAAGGTGTGGAATCAGATGGAGCTCGAGGTTGTAAGTACAAATACAATTATGTGCGAGTTCAACTATATCAGGGGGCGGAAACGCGTAAGATACTTTCGTTCTAAAAGAAGGAAGGTGAAGTATTATTTGGTAGTCTGTGAAGTTTTGTAGTGTTTCCTTACAAGCAAATACGACCATCACGTTCAAGTACACGACCAAGTACATTGGGGAAACATTTAATTGATAAATCGTCAGCCACCCATCTAGTTTTCAAAATACGGGGTTAACCGATGCAAAGGAATATTTCGATTTCGACCAAAATATGTTGTGGTTAATCCCACATTATTGACAAACTTGAGTTTGGGTGACAATATGTGAGAACTGAATGTTTCCCGGATGGATAAAAAAGTTCTCAAATGCTATTACCACATTTATAAACTGGCTTTCAAGTGAACGTTCAAACGGTCTCCTAGGTTTCTCTTTAAATCCGATAGACTCTTACTCATGTGTATAAAAGTCCCAGGCTTTAAAAGTGTACTCGACGAAAATACACGATGCATTTCCATTCCCTGATTATCAAATCTCCAAATAAGATTGATTCATTAACACTGCAACTTGATTTGTAATGAGTTGGACAGCAACCATTCTAATATCAATGCATTTTTCTGAAACAGTTTCATTCAGCAGTCGAAGATCCTCTTCAAGTAGCTCTGACGATGGCAATGTTGAATGCCATGCGTGTACAGAAGTTGATGGAAGACCACCAGGTGGCGTGTGTAACATCACTATGTCAGCTCTGCAAAAGATACACAGGTATACATGCGTTTAGTTATGGTGCAACATGCCTAGTTATCTACTTGTCTAGGCATAATATAGATATTCCAAACTTTCTATTTTCAAATATAAACGGACCTCTGAAAGCGTAAAAGCTGAAATGTAGAGGTACAAAATCATTGCACGCTCTATTGATAAGGGACTGAATTATTTTTTCCACATTTTTCTATGGGGAAGGAAAGATAATTGAACGATCAAGCCCTAATAGACCCACCAATGTCTTTATTCGGGCAAGTTTTACCTGATGAAAAACTATTACGAGCAATATTACCGTGAAACGCATTGGGCTTAATAAATAGCGTAAATTCTGTTACAAATCAGAAATTATACTTAGCCACGATAGACAAAAATGTTAAATAAGCTGGACATATAAAGACTGCTTTTGAACATACAGCTATTACACTAACAAGTTGTCATTGCGTTTTTCAAAACGTTGCCCTACGAATGGTGTTTGGACGGGAAGGTGATTCAGAATTTTGAACCATTTCAAAATCCGATGGATTTTATGCCCATAATACCGTTCCCTAATTAGATCATGTGACAATACCTTCAATTGAGATTACCTTCTATACTAGGAATGTAATTGCCATACTTCGACCCTATTGGGAACGCGGTACTTTGTGCAATCGGATATCAGCGAATCTATGCTTGCATATAAGGTCGAAACGCCAACCTACAGTATACGCATGAACAATCGCCCAAATGCATCGCTTAAATATTTTTCGTTCACGTTTAGGTTGTGAAAAACATTGCAAGCTTAAACTCCCTATTATTTGCAGTGCGCGTGCACATCGACATTGTGTGACCTGAACAAATGAGATTGAGACGGTAACATATTTGTCATATCATTATGTATATCATACATATGTATCATATTTGATAACTGTAGATTTTCTCTTTTCTAGCTATGAAGGGGTGTACAGATATGGCATTAACGTTGGAAATATGAGGTACACCATATATTTGAAATCTTCTGACAATAAAACCACGAGATCCAAAATTGAGCAAGATTTCCCAAATCATAACTTCTTTTTTGAAATAATCGGGAAAGATACCAGAGGCGTACAAATAGCAGGAGTGCACAAAATAGGGACCGTATCAACGGGGACATTAGGAGGCCTCTTAGATGCAATTTCAATTAACGGAAATACAAGAACATTTGCATTGACCAATCGACATGTTGTCGCAACGTTGAAGGTTAACGATGATGTTTTCGTTTGTAATAGAGCAGCAAGCGCAACTGAACAACCGGAACAAGGTATAGCTTCATCAAGTCAAGACGAACTTGCCGAATACAACATGAAACCCATCGGACAACTGAGAACGTATATCGATACCACAGGAGCAACGCCATATAAAGAAAGACCAACTAGATTATCTAAAACATATGACATCGCACTAATTGAACTAAACGCTCACCCTTTCAATCGAAGTGAATACCGTAGATGCAAGCTTATTAAACATAAAGAACTCATACGTGAAGGCCCAAGCAGCGATATAATGCAAGTCCAAAAAACGGGCTGCACTACGAATCGCACCTATGGTAGAATAACAGAGACAAATTGTAGCCAAAGAATAGTTTATCTCGATCCTTTTGGAAATACGCAAACAGCTGATCTCCATGGTGTCATTGAAATTGAAAATGAAATTCCAATGGATGAAGATGCTCAAGACAAACACTTTGCAGAAAGTGGAGACAGCGGCGCAATCATAGTTGCTGAAAATGGGACTCCAAACAATTACGTCGCCATAGGAATGTTTACATTCTATTCCAATGATAATGAGAACAACAACCAAAGTAGGGCATATGCATTTCCAATATATGATGCGCTTGCTCAACTACATAGACGCGAGCCACAAGTACTCGGTGAAGACACAATGCATTTGTATGCGCATATATAGGTTTCTACAGAATGATGAACAACTTTGTGAATAAAAGGTAAATTAGCTATCTAAATAAATAATTCAAAGGCCCCAATACCTCATCATGATAAACCATGACATCTCAAATCTTCAGGTGAAACAGAAAAATGCTATGAGTATCAGAATGTCAAGACCTTGGTTTGGATAGTTTTCTTCCTTTATGTTAACAAAATATGATATATGAAACAGTTTAACCTTAAAAAAATTACGACATTTTGTTTAGAAATGTGAATGTATTAAAATATGATATATGAAAGATTTTAACCTTAGAAAATTATGACATTTTGTTTAGAAATGTGAATGAATTTAAATAATCTCTTGGTTGCTTCATACACCCATATATTATAAAGGAATAAAGGAATAATTTACAGCAGCGCATATAGGTTTAAAAACTGGCAATAATCCTAGTTTGACCTGGTGTTCAATTTTATATTCACCCTTTTGTCACGTCAACAACTGATATTGGAGCAACATGAAGTATTAATATATCATAATTCCAACGTTTGCAAGATGAACCCAATTCTACAACGTGTAATAGCTGTTAATATAGGATCTCTAACATGGGTTACCCCAGAGTTTAGTCGACGCTCATGTCACTGGCCTTTTAACGTATTACTCTCACATCTTTTTCAGAATTCCTGCTCAAGTTCATGGAGATAATAAATGGTGGCAGAGTTAAAAAGCAGACTTTTAATTCTGTGTTTATACGACCATTGGGTGAAGTTTAGAAACTGCCACTATAAACAGAGGTGGGATATCTGAAACAGTAATATTTAGACATGAGAAGAATATGTTCGTTTAAGTTGTGACACATGCTCATGGACTTTGTAATTGTATGTATATACGACAATTCGATGAAGTTACCAGTTTATAAACTGCCACTATAAACGAAGGTGGGATATCTGAAACAGAAATATTTAGACATGAGAAGAATATGTTCGTTAAAGTTGTGACACATGCTCACGGACTTTGTACATTTATGTATATACGACAATTCGATGAAGTTTAGAAACTGCCACTATAAACGAAGGTGGGATATCTGAAACAGAAATATTTAGACATGAGAAGAAAATGTTCGTTAAAGTTGTAACACATGCTCACGGACTTTCGACAATTCGATGAAGTTTAGAAACTGCCACTATAAACGGAGGTGGGATATCTGAAACAGTAATATCTAGACATAAGAAGGATATGTTCGTTAAAGTTGTGACACATGCTCACGAACTTTGTAATTTTATGTATATACGACAATTCGATGAAGTTTATAAACTGTAACTATAAACGGTGGTCGGATATCTGAAACAGTAATATTTAGACATGAGAAGAATATGTTCGTTAAAATTGAGACACATGCCCACGGACTTTGTAATTTTATGTATATACGACAATTTGATGAAGTTACCAGTTTATAAACTGCCACTATAAACGAAGGTGGGATATCTGAAACAGAAATATTTAGACATGAGAAGAATATGTTCGTTAAAGTTGAGACACATGCTCACGAACTTTGTAATTTTATGTATATATGACAATTCTATTTAGTTTATAAACTGTCACTATAAACGGTGGTGGGATATCTGAAACAGAAATATTTAGACATGAGAAGGATATGTTCGTTAAAGTTGTGACACATGCTCACGAACTTTGTAATTTTATGTATATACGACAATTCGATGAAGTTTATAAACTGTCACTATAAACGGAAGTGGGATATCTGAAACAGAAATATTTAGACATGAGAAGGATATGTTCGTTAAAGTTGTGACACATGCTCACGAACTTTGTAATTTTATGTATATACGACAATTCGATGAAGTTTATAAACTGTCACTATAAACGGTGGTGGGACATCTGAAACAGAAATATTTAGACATGAGAAGAATATGTTCGTTAAAGTTGTGACACATGCTCACGGATTTTGTAATTATATGTATATACGACAATTTGATGAAGTTTATAAACTGCCACTATAAACGGAGGTGGGATATCTGAAACAGAAATATTTAGACATGTGAAGGATATGTTCGTTAAAGTTGTGACACATGCTCACGGATTTTGTAATTTTATGTATATATGACAATTCGATGAAGTTAATAAACTGTCACTATGAACGGTGATGGGATATCTGAAACAGTAATATTTAGACATGAGAAGGATATGTTCGTTAAAGTTGTGACACATGCTCACGGATTTTGTAATTTTATGTATATACGACAATTCGATGAAGTTTATAAACTGTCACTATAAACGGTGGTGGGATATCTGAAACTGTATTATTTAGACATGAGAAGGATATGTTCGTGTAAGTTGTGACACATGCTCACGGACTATGTAAATTTATGTATATACGACAACTTCGATAAAGTTTATAAACTGCCAGTATAAACTTATAAGGTTGGGTATCTGAAACAGAAATACTTAGACAGGAGAAGGTTGGGTTCGTTTTAGTTGTGACACATGCTCAGTGTCTTTGTAATTCTGTATGAATACCACAATACGATTTGGTAAGTTTAGAAACTGCAAATCTGCGAAAGGATTTGGTAAGTTTAGAAAACAAAACTGCAGAAACTTTACATGGTGGTGGGATATTTCAAATAACACAACCTATTTGTTGACTATATAAATTTGCAACTTGCGGATGTGATACCTGCTCAGTGTCTTTGTTTTTCTGTAAATATGGAACAATTAGGTGAAGTTTGGAAACTGTAAATGCAAACGATGGTTGAATATCTCAAGCTGTATTATCTACTTGTAGATATGAGTAGGTATCACACCTTTCAGTGACTTTGTTATTCTGTTAATATGGAACAATTAAATGAATGTCGGAATCTGTAAAAACATATGAAGGTAAAATATATCAAGCTGTATCATGAGATATGAGTAGGTAACATGGCGTGATACACCTTTCTGGGACTTTGTCATTCTGTTAATATGGAACAATTAAATGAATGTTGGAATCTGTAAATACATATGAAGGTAAAATATATCAAGCTGTATCATGAGATATGAGTAGGTAACATGGCGTGATACACCTTTCTGGGACTTTGTCATTCTGTTAATATGGAACAATTAAATGAATGTCGGAATCTTTAAATACATATGACGGTAGGATATATCAAGCTGTATCATCTAGATATGAGTAGGTACGTAACATGGTGTGATACACCTTTCTGTGACTTTGTTATTCTGTTAATATGGAACAATTAAATGAATGTCGGAATCTGTAAATACATATGTATCATCTAGATATGAGTAGGCAACATGGTGTGATACACCTTTCAGTGACTTTGTTATTCTGTTAAAGCAGATATGAAATGGTATTTTTTAACCTAAAGGAATCAATATAATTTTTTGATAAATGTATTTGGACATATTTTCTCATCAGTAGTGCGAAAACTATTTCACTCTAACGATCGTTATAGCTGCTTAATAAGCAATATTCGAATTGGCTGTGACGTTATTGGCCCCCACGTGATCTCTCACTGGTCCCCACATGGCCCATAACGTCATAATGCCAAAATGTTTTGTTTTGGTTTACACTACAATCCTATGGTTGCCGTGACGTTGTGATTACTAAGGAACCAATAAACCAAAGCTATATTTTGTATATGACGTTACTTATCACGTGGGGGCCAATTTGATTGATCAGTTAGTTTTATTTCGTTATTTATGACCGTTAGCAGTTATCTAACATTTATTTTATAATGACTGTCGCAAGAACTCTACGTTGGGCTTACAAAGGAGAAAACCGCATTTTTGTAGCTGCAAGTTGAGAAAAGCTATTTCAGTTGTCCTTTAATTAAACAATTAAATGAATGTCGGAATCTGTAAATACATATGACGGTAGGATATATCAAGCTGTATCATCTAGATATGAGTAGGCAACATGGTGTGATACACCTTTCTGTGACTTTGTTATTCTATTAATATGGAACAATTAAATGAATGTCGGAATCTGTAAATACATATGGCGGTAGAATATATCAAGCTGTATCATGAGATATGAGTAGGTAACATGGCGTGATACACCTTTCTGTGACTTTGTTATTCTATTAATATGGAACAATTAAATGAATATTGGAATCTGTAAATACATATGACGGTAGGATATATCAAGCTGTATCATCTAGATATGAGTAGGTAACATGGTGTGATACACCTATCTGTGACTTTGTTATTCTGTTAATGTGGAACAATTAAATGAATGTTGGAATCTGTAAATACAAATGACGGTAGAATATATCGAGCTGTATCATCTAGATATGAGTAGGTAACATGGTGTGATACACCCTTCAGTTAGTTTTTTATTCTGTTAATATGGAACAATTAAATGAATGTTGGAATCTGTAAATACAAATGACGGTAGAATATACCAAGCTGTATCATCTAGATATGAGTAGGTATCATGGTGTGACACACCTTTCTGTGACTCTGTTATTCTGTTAATATGGAACAATTAAATGAATGTCAGAATCTGTAAATACATATGATGGTAGAATATATCAAGCTGTATCATAAGATATGAGTAGGTAACATGGCGTGATACACGTTTCTGGGACTTTGTCATTCTGTTTATATGGAACAATTAAATGAATATTGGAATCTGTTAATACATATGACATTAGAATATATCAAGCAGTATCCTCAGATATGAGTAGGTAACACGGCGTGATGCAACTTTCTGTGACTTTGTTATTCTATTAATATGGTACAATTAAATTAATTTGAGAATCTATGAATACATATGATGGTAGAATATATCAAGCTGTATCATCTAGATATGAGTAGGTAACATGGCGTGATACACCTTTTTGTGACTTTGTTATTCTGTTAATATGGAACAATTAAATGAATGTTGGAATCTGTAAATACATATGACGGTAGGATATATCAAGCTGTATCATAAGATATGAGTAGGTAACATGGCGTGATACACGTTTCTGGGACTTTGTCATTCTGTTTATATGGAACAATTAAATGAATATTGGAATCTGTTA